CCATCCGATGCCGCACGAAAGTTTTCGATGAAGCCAGCTTTTGGTCTTCAAAAAGCCACTGTGTATCAGCAAATTGTAGCCGAATACTCCGAGGCCTTCATCCTTCGGCAGCACTTTCCTCCACGCTCATCCTGTGCATATGTTCCCAGCATATATACATAAATATATATATGTATTTGTACTCGTATATACAAACAGTAATAATGATAATAGCAGTGTTCTTGATAATAATGATAATAACAATAATAGTAACAATAATAATAACAGCAACAACAATAACAACAACAACAACAATAATAATAGTGTTAGTAATAGTAATAAGAATAACAATAATAATAACAATGGTAATAATAATGATGATAATAATAGCACAAATAATAGTCACTATTACTATGATAATTATCACAAATATTGCAATGATAAAAAATATTAATAGTAATAAGAATTACATGTATATTCGACACACACGATGATGCGCTGTGACCATGCGATGAAGCAGATCCGTTGAGCAGGGCATGTTACTCGAAGCTGCTGACATCTGATTAGTCGGGTAACCTGGTTCGAACAGACAGTAAATTATAGTAGCTACGGCTCAGATCTAAAGGACCCTGGCAAAGCTGCGTCCGATCCCTTGAGAGCATCCCGGTAACATCACTAACAGGCGCCAAACCCACGCTGGTCACATAAGCAAACGATTTCCAGAATAGTTCTTGCGGAGAAGGAACGACGTATGGGTAAGCATCGGAGGCAAAAGCGTAAAGTGATTACGGGCGGCGTATACCGATGGCCCAATAATCGAGCGATACCTTATGAATTTGCCTCCTCAGATGGTTTGTTTTCCTTTTTGTGCGTTTATGCGTCCTGTACTGAATGAAGCATTGCACAAAACGCATATTGTCATGCCCCTGTCTGTGCGTGCGAGTGTGTGTGTATGTTTGTGTGTATGTTTATGTATGTGTGTGTTTGTGTGTATGTTTGTGTATATGTGTGTATGTTCGAGTACGTTTTGTCGTATACTTTCAGCTCTGGAACTGGTAAAGCTAGGAAGCGAAATTTCATAGGAATGTCCCCTGCCAACGTGCAATCTTGCATGTTCAAATTCAGCCTTCATATAATTTGTGAGTCTCACCTATACCCCGCAAAAGTTGAGGGGGAAAATTGTTATCTCGGGAATCACAAAAGCTGTGAAGTTGAAATTTTAGCGAAATTTCTTCTGCTCACATGTGATCTCGCAAATTCAATTTCACCTTTCACGTATGCTTAGGTGTCACGTACGGCCTTTTGCTGGCGAGAAAGTCTGCCAACTCGGGAAGATGAAGAGCTAGGAAACTGAAATTTCAGGAGGATATTTTCTGCCTATGCAAGGACCTCACAAACTCGATCGCACGCACGGCCACGTGAAGCTTCCTCCGCAATACCTCGAAATCGGAAGCCGAAAAACGAGGGAGTTGAAATTTTGGAAGGATGTTCCCCATCCACTACGATCCAAATTTTGAGTTTAGCTGTCACAGTATGCCTGCTTTTCTCATACCTGCAAGTGAAATTTTTAGTAGAAAATTTCGCAGCTTGGGAACCAAAAATCGGCTATTTCTTACACACAAAGTGTAAAACAATGAAAACTTCTGACCCCAATGACGGTCGGTCGGTACTACGTAAAACCTGGTGCGTGCTGCTATTTTTTGCATATTATGCAGATGCAAAAACGTATATTGTCGAGAGGTTGTACGTGTTGCGTGTGTGTGTGTTTGGAAGTCAATAAGCTTTGTCGTCTACTTTCAACTCAGCAACACGGAAAGCTGGGAGGCTGAAATTTGGGAAGCATATTCTCACCCCATCTTTCACCTTCCTGTTTTAAATCATTGCTTATGCTCGCTTAGAAATCATATGCCT